CTTCTATTGCAGATAAAAAATCCATGGGGGCATCAACATTCAGTTAGTATGGACATGCAACACTTGAGAGCTGGCCAGGTATCTGAGCAGCCACATGAACAAACTTTTCCACTAGAAAAGCAGTTCTCCAATGGTCCCTGTAGGTGGTAAACACCATTACTGGAGAGAAGACCAGCTGTATGCTCACCCATAGGAAACAGAGCACTGAAATTGCTCTTACACCACTATAGCTGGAACAGCGCTCATGGATGGATGGATGGATGATATCCCTCCCTTCCTGGCTCTCACTTAAAGGCATGACTTTACACTCCCAGTGCTCTGCCTGCTGTTCCACATGAACATCAAGCCCTGTGCAAGTAAAGCCACTTGGAAAACTAAGCACATTGGTTCCCTTTTTTGACTAAATGTGTAACACTGCTCACTGGTAGTCCCAGTGTGTGACTAAAATGGTACTGTATGAAGTGTTCTGTATCTGGCAGTACAGTCATAAACTGTAGCACCCTATTGCGAACACAGTACTTAAAATTAATAGAGCAAACCAACCTGCTGGGTGTTCTGGCATAAGCCATAAGGTTTTTCCTCCCACTTCTGCCAAGACTTGACAAGACCTCTGTTAAGTGCATCCCACCAGCCTCAGTACAACAGCTCCCCATCGGGAAGAATATGGCTGTCAGCTGGGGTTTTTCCAAATTAAGTCTTGCAGAGCTTGTACAACAGTTAAGAGAGCCAGGCATTTAACCAATCTGCCAGCAGAGAACTAAAGCACACTGTGTGCTCAGTAGAATTGTGCACAGTAAAGGGGTAATTTCATACTGGTTTTGCACTGAACAATTTGTTGAGATGACAGCAAAGAGAGGCTCTAACCTGCCAAATGATTTCCTACTGATATTCAGACAGATTTAAAGTTCTGTATTAACAGCCAACAGAAAAGAGTCTCAAGATGAAGTCAATGAATAAACCATCAAAAATGTCATTTACAAACACTGCACTTTAACAGAGCAAATGAGTTAGAACTAATGCTAAAGAGATTTGCAGACACTTTGCAAATACAGACACCTAGCCATGTGGCAGCTGAGTACAGGCCTTTTCTGCAGAACATTTGCTTTATTTGAAGCCTTAAACACTGCAGTACAGACTTGAGACTACTTGGAACACAAAGTGAACTTGGCATTTTAAACACGATCATCTGAAAATATTCAGTTACTTGATTATGAGAAAATCATCCAAATGAATAAATATGTTTGTTTCCTAACTGCCTTCATTCAGTTCTACCTCCAATATTAATGTATTATATACAATGTATTATTATTATTATTAATGACTGACAGTTTTTCCCAGCAATCTTAAAAATGACAGTACAAAAATATCCACTTTCAACATTATCTTAGTTGGCTAGATTCTAGAATTTGGACTAACTTTACAGAAATGAGTCTTTACTACACTAAAGTAGTTAAGTAGTATTTCTAGAATGCAGCAAACTATGTGATGCAATTAACTGCTGTAGCTTATTATTATTGGAAAGTTTTATCCAAAAATCTGTGGAGAACGTATTTTGTTCTGATTGCATACATATGAAGAGATCTTTCATCTGGAAACTAACTGTCCTGCTTTATTGATGTTCAGTGAAACTCAGTCACAAAATTACCTGTAAATTAGTATACTGTGAACAAAGGAAAGAAAAATACCTAGCAGCTCTGCTTGTAGGAATTCCAAGATAGTGCATGGCCTCACTACATAAAAACTCTCGAACAGAAGAGCGAAGCACAGCTCTTCCATCACCATTCCTATAGAGAACAGAGAAATAAGGAACAGGTCATAAAATCAAGGGAAATTTCAAAAAGAAAACATTCTGTTTTAGAGTACACAGAATAACTGCAACTTACCTGGAGTATGGGGTCTTTCCTGACCCTTTTAACTGCAGTTCCCACCTCTCACCATGCCTGCAAAAATACCATTGGCATTTCTAGCAACAGACCTCAGGTTAATCATGAATCAGCTAAGCTGAACACAGAGTTCAATCAGACACTTAAAAAAAGTCACACCTGTTTGTATATACTCCGATCAAGTGGGCTCTTCCATCCCCCAGCTGACCTGCCCAGCTACCAAACTGACAAAAATTTAAATCAAGTTATTGTCCTCCATCATTTGTAGAAGTTATACTTGAAACAATACAAATTAAATTGAGGTCCTCACAAAAGATACATTTGCTTACATTAAAATGTTGATCCCTAAAGCTGTATTTCCACACTCACTCCAGAAATGAATCAGGAAACCGCAGGAAGAGTAACAGCAGTAATCCTCTTTTTTTTTTACCTTCCAGCTATGACGTACAGCTACAGACCTGTCTTTTTTGTATAATGAGCCTTTAAACCCACACGGCTTGTTTTGTTGGTTTTTTTTAACTGGAAATTACAAATCAAATTCTTCTCCATGAATAATCATAGTCATTCCAATTAAATGTGAATCTTAGCAATCATGGTGTTGCAGTGAGGCTCTGTCCTTCTCCACTCCTCTGAGGCCTTAGTGTCTATCACAAAGCAGAGCTGGCCAGGCTGTGGGGTGCTAAGCAGGCTTGGCAGCTAATGAAAGTTAAAACAATAATTTGCTCCAGGCATAAACAAAAGCAGAGCAAGTAAACAGGGTACTGTGGAAGGATATTATAGTTCTCTTCCACCTGCAGCCTGTTTTGAAGAACAAGTCTGAAATCAAAATGTTAGTAAGCATTCATGCACTCACAGGCATATACTCAGGTACTTACAGGTATTATCAAGGTGTAATTCACAAGAAAAGACCTACACAATTCCACCTGGAAGAACAAGTGCCATACTTACCTGGTGACCCCCATACCTATGGGCCAGTGGAACAGACCCAAATATCACTTTCCCACCACTGACAAACTCCAGAAAATCAGATGATCCTTTGACAGATATATCAAGATCCAAAATATTTTCAAGAACTTCCTGGAGAAAAAAATAATACTTGAACATGATCAAATTTTCAGTGGTAATGAACATGTTTTCTCTATATATTTCATCATTAAAAGACATCTCACAATATGTTTTAAATGCTCTTTTTGTTTAAAGTATATATTGAGAAAATGTTTTACAATATATAGAGCATGAATATTAAAGTATACTTTAGTAAATGTGTTAGTAATTTCTACGAACTAGAGAATAATAAAAAAAAATAGCCAACCTTTGAAACAGCTACAAGATGAACTCTAGATTTAAAAGGTGTAGGATAGACAACTGAAAAAATGCAGTTTCTCACATTACGGACATAATTTTCTTGTATCACATCAACTGGAAAAGGATCTGTAAACATGAAACAGACAACAAATGCTGTATAAAAACCAATTAATTATATTGTTCTTAATATGTTTCCTCTTAAATCCAGCCAAGATGCTTTATAAACAATTAAAACCTGTAACATTACAACTTTACCAATATATATTAAGCCTTCACAAAAAGCAAGCCCAAATAAATTTAGGATTTCATTGTTTGGAATTTCTGCAAAGGACTGAATTCTGCAGTTAAAGAATCTACCAGGGTATTCTAGTTTTAAGATCTAAACCGTATCTAAGAATAGATTGAATAGACTGTGACTAGAATAGTCTCAGGGCAGTTTGATGTTGCACTCAATTATATACACCCTAAAAAATACCTGCAGGAGACAGAGTTGTTCAGCTTTACTCAGAGCTGAACAATGTAGTGCAACAGATCTAAGTCACTGTGCACCATTGCTGTGTACAGTCCATATGCAATAAAGTGATCACCACACAACCCAAGAAAACAGATGAAGTCTTTTCTGAGTAATGTAAACAGTAAATGAATGAGTTAGGAGATTTAGCTCTTGCTATAGCATGCATCTGTACTCAGAAGTTCATTCTTCCTTCAGACCTACTCTGTGCCCTTTTCCATAGTAACAGAGGACAAATATTGTTTTAAAACAGTGTGGTTTCCCATCCTTATTGACTTTTGCTCGCAACAACCTTACAATTCCACATTAATTACAAAATCCCAGTACCTCATACTCATTGTTTTGTAAAAACTTTAAGTTAGTTAGCAACTCTGGAGCCTCGCTGCTAGCCATGCTCCTTACAGCCTCTAATGACAGATCCTGCTATAGCCAGCTGCCACAAGATTTATCACTGACTATTATTTCTTAATGCTCACAAGTAATTGTGTCACCTAATGAAATTAGTTCTGTAATGTTATCATATCAATTAGCATTATGATTACACGCAGTTTTGTATGCCCGAGAGCTAGCAGAGCTAGAATGCTTTGTGTACTTCCAGAGAAGCGTCAGGTTATCAACTCTGCACCAACACATAATTGGGACTCGGGGAAAAAGAAGCTCCTTATGACCAATCCAGTTTTAATTTAAAAATAATATTTGACTATGTTTTTCTTCGCTTAGTTACTGCTTAGGGAGCTGCTACAACCCAACAAGCAAAAGCGACGGCCAGGAGAGAAGTACGGAGCCCCGGGCAGGGCAGGACAGGAGTACGGAGCCCCGGGCAGGGCAGGACAGGAGTACGGAGCCCCGGGCAGGGCAGGCCGTACCTAGCAGGCTGTCGGAGGACAGGGCCCAGGCGCAGAGCTCGGCCGCCCGGCGCCGCGGGCACTGACCCGGCTCGGCGTGGGAGGCGTTCGGGGCCGGGCAGAGCCCGCGGGAGCCGCACAGCGCGGCCACACAGCCCCAGGCCAGGCACGCGGGCAGCCAGAGCCGCCACCACATGCCCTCACACCTCGCCTTCCAGCGTCACCTACGCACCCGGACTGAGGTCTCCCGCCCTCAAAGAGGGCGCGGGGGTGCCCGCCCGGTACCCCGCCGAAGGGCGGTGGCGGCGCGGGACTTCCGCGTCCGGGTCGCGGCGGGGCCGGGAGGCGGTGCCGGCGCGGCGGGGCTGGGGGACACCATGGCTTTGCGGTGGTGGTGGCGGAGCGGCGCCTCGTGCTGCCGGGCGCCGCCGCTGGGCTCTGTGGGCAGCCCCGGCCCCCGCGCCCCGCCGGCCCCCAGCGCGGCGGTGAGTGCGGCGGCGCCGGGCGGGCGCGGAATGAATGGGGCGGGGGGCGCCGGGCCGGGCCGGGCCGGGCGGGCACCCGGGGCCGCCGCTCCTTCGGCTCCCCGGCAGCCGGGCCACGGCCCGGGGACGGCTCCCGGCCGGGGGGTCCTTATTGGGGGCAGGAGCAAGGTTAAATTCCGGATTAAGGATCTCTGGCACTGGTCAGTGTGTGCGCCTCTGGGAGCCGGCCCTAGGTGGGAGCAGGGGAAGTGCTTCTCAGTAGTATGAGATTTTGAAGGCGTTTGTGTGTGCTAGCGTTGTGAGCGGTAATGGGGGCAGCTTTCTCATTGCCCTGGTTTGGAGCTTCTTCACAAGGCCAGGCTGCGATTCTGACCCTCGCTGAAGTGCTCTGGCTGTCCTGACCCCCGAGAAAGTGCTCTGGCGAATGTGTCCAGAATCCCGCACCAGCCGCTGTTACAGGGTCAAGCAGCAGCAGCGTGAAGGAGTCTGTGTGTGCTCACACTGAAGGAAGAGTAGGAAGAGATCAGCTATTTTTAGCAACAGAACGCGGTGAGAGGTCCGAGAGAGCGACCTAGGAATGTCTTAGCCGTAGGGCCGGACACTGAAGTCAGACAGCAGTGGGTTGCAGATCTGTGGTAAGTTAGAGCTCCTCGCCTTCCTTAGACTCCTTGCATGGCCTTGTGTAAGCACGGAGGGTGGAAGAGTGCCCCTGAGCCATTACAGTGCTTTTGTTTCTCTCCCACTGTCCGAAGACAGATTTTAATCCAGGTATGAGGATTCGCTGAGGCACGAGGAGCAGGTCTCCTTGAGCGTTTCTGTTCTAGTTTTTGCAGAGGCAGTTTGGTGAACACGTGGATTGCAGCGATTTTAGGTTGGCTCAGCCCAGCATTGGGCAGGGTTCAGTGCTTGCTGGCTGCACTCCCAGGAGCAGAGCAAAAGCTGGACTTCCTTTCTCAGGCTGTATCTGCTGGAGTCATGTACCTGGGACTGTGCCTTCCCGCACGCTCCTGGGCTCTGTCTGCAGGGAGAGAACATTGGAGACATTGGTAGATTTGGAAGTTAGCTTCTGGACATGTAGCAGGGAAGATGGACAGGCATAGATTATAAACAGCAGGCTGAATTGAAGTTGCTTCAGGAGAAAATCCTTATTTGATTTTCTGTTAGCATGCTGAAACAGCTAATCCCTTTCTCTATGTCCTGACTGGTGCAGTCCAGATTTATCTTCCAGGCAGGAAATATTTGAAAATTGCACCTTGCACAAGTACAAAAGCAAAGTTTTATTGGAACAGTTTTAGTAATTTAAGTGATAAGCCTCCTGGGCTGGGCATGCCAGGGTAGAAAGTCCAGCGCTCCGAAGCAGAAGAATCAGTTCAGTGTGCCTATTGGCATTCATGTCTCACGTGATATGGAAGGGGTTGTGAGACGCCCTTTGCTGCCGGCTTGTTAAAATGGAGAAGTAGAGCAGTTGTGACGGATACATTTTTTTTGTAGTCAAATGTTTTCTGTTAGTTTAAAGTTCTAATAAACTATCCCTGATTTTATTTTGTGCAGATGTGTCACATTACCCAAAGAAGTTCAACTTTCTTGTTTCCAAAAATATGTAGTATATTTTGGCGGTAAGTTGGAGCGTCACATTGTTGTGTAGCGGGTAAAGAAATAGTTATTGGGTGAACATAGTAGTTACACCTCTGAGCCGTAAACCTTGAAAATAAGGTTATTTACTCCAGTGTAGACTGCTGCTGTAGTGCTGAGTCTGAATCTCAGTCGTTCGTCCTGGAGAGTAATGGGTAAAGCAAGAATGCTGCAAGAAATACATATGGGTCACTTTGGAAAAGGAAACATTAGAAGCAGAAGATACTTCAACTCCAGGAAACAAACAAACTAGTCTCCTAGGCTAAATGCATCTTAATGCATCCAGGTGGAGCTTTCACCCTTTTATAATGAACTTTCCTAGCATCATCATGCTACCTGGGTATGCAGCTGGGTATACAAAGGAAAAAATACCAAATCTAAGACAGGAATATTTTTTCAGGAGTTTGCAAGAGAGGGAAGAAAGTAACAGAATAGTTGGGTTGCCAGAAGTGAAGGCTCTATCTCCAAGTGTGGGCTACGCTATCCATAGTGTATTGAAAAGGAATACAAGGAGAGCAAGGTAGTGTTCTGTGTCTGAAGAAGACTTCTGGGATCTGTTAAGGGCAGAGTGTGTGTGTTTGCCAAATGTGCTTTGCCAGGTCCCAAAGGTTTATGGTCATCAATGCATTGCTCTGCTGTCCTTGCACTTTACTGTCTGCCTGAAAAGTGTGTTTTGATGCCTTCATATATTTTATCCATTTGGTTAAATGTGGTGTGAGGGGAGAGAAATAAATCCTTTCAGATGTTTCTGTTTGGGGAATCAGGGGAACTTGACTTCTAACAAGACTACTGACTTGAAAAACACTGTCACCAGGTTTCATCATACAAGTACATCCCACTGGTGCAGCTGCAGTAAGACAATTAGTGATGAAAAATACCAAGACCCTTTTCAACTAGGTAGAAAAGACTTGAAGAATCTCTATGAAGATATTAAAAAGGTAACCGACTGTGGTGACTATGCTGGGATGTCATGATGATTGTTTTTAATAGAAGCCATCAGTTTTGAGGATATTTATTGAAAGAATGTTATTTATGTTTATGAGCAGCTGTCTGAAACTGAAAGCAAACAGAACATTTCTCATATTTTATAGAACCAGAATGCAATTTTTCTCCTGATTTTCAGTGCTGGAATGCATAACTTACATTTCAGGTTACTCATAGTAATTTTAGAAACAACTTGAGCTTACACTGGGTGGAATGCATGCAGGCAATAACCTTATACATGCATACTGTTTTACTTACACTAAACAGACTATGTGACTTCTATGCTGAAATGCTCTTGTACTTTTTTATAGGAATTGCTGGTCTCTGCAGCAGAACTTAAGGAAATGTGTGATTATTACTTTGATGGGAAGGGAAAGGCCTTTCGACCAATGATTGTGGTGCTAATGGCTCGGGCTTGCAACATTCACCATAATAATTCCAAGTGAGTTGGTCACTTTCAGATACACAGATCATATTTGAAAATTATCATTCTTGTGTCTTTGAAAAATACTTTATGAAAATAAAATGCTCCTCAGTAAAACCTGAATTTCAGTTCCATCTTGAAGCTGTACTTTTGTAGTCGTCAGTGCAAAAGGAACTGCTGGGTTTATTACCTATTTCCATGTGTTAAATCGTGGAGGATACTGCACTTGTAACCAGGGTGGATAAAAAATGTTGCTGAATTATGATATTTGTAAGGTTTTTAGTCAATTCTACCTTTTTGGATAAATGCTTTATTAGAACCTTTGATATTCTTTGAAACTATATAAACTGTATTAAGTATATTTCATTTGTAACCGCTCCTGTTCCTATTAAACTCTCGTCACAGGTAAGAAATTTGCTGTGAGAAGAGGCCTTCATAGATTTTTTTAGTAATTATGCAGAAAAGATATTAAACAAGTGGTATGATTGTATTCAAAGCAGTGAAATTTTGGAAACAGTCAAGAGGTTTTTTCCCACCCTCTAGTAGCAAGTTTCTAGGCTTTATGTAAGATTCTAAGCTTATTAGACTGGCATAGTCCTCATGATCTCCAAGTTACATGTCTTTTGAAAGCTGTTTTAACTGAGCAGAAGATCATGCTTGGCCTGTATCTCTATCACTCCTGAGTCTGGCTTGTTGCAAATGCTTCACTCCACATGTTCCTGTCAACTGCTATGTTTGCATTTTGAGGAAGGGTGTTGGCTGCACTGTTCTCTGCCTTTCAGCTATGCTTCCAGTGTTGACTTTTATAGAATTTCAAATAGGTAATCTTTGGTCCCTTTCCAGAAGTGGTTCTAGGCTAATTTGTCAGTCATTTGTCAGAAATTAAGGATAATAGCTAATTTGTCAGAAATCAAGGAATTTCTCTGAGCTCTTGCACCATTTTCTTTCTGTAGGAGTAGTTTAATGCCTTGTTGGACTTGATTACTACCTCAGAATATGGATATTTTGTTGCATGGATAGCCCCTCTCCCTGTATCCCGTTCTATGTGAATATAATTTTGAAGGAGAAAGCAAAACTGAGCTGGCAGTGTCCTATCTTGCGTGTGCCAGTTCTCCTTGTTTTAGGAAAAATCATCCAGGATTAATGAACTTTGCTTCAGCCTGTTTCTGTTGTCAGCTCAGGACTGCTTCTTGTCACTAATTTTGAGATAGCAAAAAGAACAGTACTGGTTGTGAAAATCCTCAGGGATGCCTTTTGCCATTGGCTGGCTTAATATTTTCCTGATTGGTCTTGACATGAAAAAAGGAGTTTGAGGATGGCACTTTTTGATGGCAGAATCATTCTTGATGATCAGCCATCTATGGTGAAATGTAAGGAAGCGCAGTAAACCAAAAACTTCTGCTTGAGCTTGTAGAGTCTTGGGTGTCCCATTAGGGCATAACCCAGTGTGGTTTGCAACCACTTACATTATGAAGAACCTCAAAGATACCCTAGCATGCGTCAGCCATCCAGTTCAGCTACGGGAGTGTATATTGCACTTCTTGAAATCATCAGCATGTCCAATCCCTGTGTTCAAAATAAGTGAAGTCCGGCTGGCTTCAGGGATGGATTGCAAAGATAACCATGAAGATTGAAGACTCGTGGTCTACAAATTTATCAGAGCAGGGTGAAAGAGCTACTTAAGACAAAGCATTATGTTGCTAAGAGAATGGAAATTTAGGAGGAGACTTTTAACAAAGGGGACAGTGATTTTTGGAGCATCTTTGGAGTCAAAATAATGGTAAAAATAGTTATATCTCATTCTAGTATGTCGCATGAAAAGCTTATGAACAAAATCACATGTGCAGTACTGAGAAGGCTGGAACTGATGTCATACAGTGTGGGAGTTGAGCAGTGAATCAAAGAGAGGTAGCAGTGGAAAGACTGAATTTGCCTGTATGCTCAAAGCATATTTGCTGTCTTTTGACATATATATATGGTCATGGACACATTCTTGTCCACATGTTATGCTGTCTCAAAACTGTCAGGACCAGTTTTTAGACCTGCCCTATGCCAGTAAGAAAGTGCCACATATGCCTGGGGCAAGTGTACTGTTTTGCAGTAGCCAGCCCTTGGTGTAAGTCCTCTGATTTCTGGATGCCTGTGTCATTTGGTAGTGTTTGTACATCTGTTGTGGTTCTAATCAGCACCTCCAAAGTATGCTCAGTGTTTAAAAGCCTCCTCAATAATCTGAATGTTCCTAGTACAAACCAGGCTGAGTCAACATCTTTGTCATATTGCTTTTAGAATGAAATTCTGAGTGGCAAGAACAGAAATGTTTCAGCAAAGGAATGGAATGAAATCTCTGGGTATTTACCTTCCTCTTCTGTGCCCTGTGCCAATGTGATTGTAATTAAATATCCCATATGTTGATACAAAGTCTTCACTGTAGTGCTTGTTGGTTCTTGTGTGGTGACCAATGCTTTTGAGGGTTGGCAGGGCTGTGTGCAGGAATTTACATTTGTACTGTGGATACCCAGTTCCTGTGAGCTGATAAAGTTTTATGGGCATTTTCTTCTCTTTTGCTTTTAAGCTGCTTGGAGCAGGCTGTCTTACACCCTGTGTGTGTATACATATACTTCAGTTCACATGGATACTATGATTGCTTCATTATTGTTCTTTCTTAAGGCAACATTGTCTCCAGGTGACAGATTGTTCTTCCAACTTTTTTATATTCGTGAGGAAAATTGGGTATGTAGAGAAGTAATACTGCATATTTTTAACTTTGCTACTCTTCTGCAAACCTGAACGGAAAAATATTTGCCTTACGTTCTGCTTCTCCCAGTGTTTTTTAAAGATATTTTTCCACTTTCAATTTGTCATTTCCCTTGAAACATTTTATCATTCTTTTCCTCAGTTAATAATGACTCTTCTCCCAGGCTTATTTTTCTTTGTTGAGGCTTTGGTTCCCACACATGTAATTGAAGAGACTGACCACAGTATCTGTAGGTTTGTAGGGTGAGCCAATATCCTCTGCTGTTCATCCCTAGCATTTTTTTAAAATTTTGCCTCTGGGGTTTGTATTGCTGATGTTCAGTTTCTTCTTCATCTTGCTGCCATTCTCAACTGTAATATAACTTGCTGGACCCAGCATGCTTTTGCCTACTTTTTTGTTTTCTTTTCTTCTTTTGTGCAATTTTTGTATAAAATGTAATACTTCTTATTTGGCTGTTAAAATAACAGGACTCAATTTAGGAAGGCTACAGGTCCTGATCTTACAAGGCAATCCCTTCAAGGCAATCCCCTCTTTCTCTTCACTGAGTCCCTCCAGAGCAGCTGAGATTTGTCAGGAGAATGGAATGCCCAGGTGGCTCTGCTTGCAGGTTAGGTGACATTGATCATTTATGTTTAGGTTTGAATGAAGAGAGGTGTTTACTGTATCCTCAGCAGGGTGAATGTTTATCTAGATTGAGGTCACTTTATTCTGGTCATAATAAGGAAAATGACAGTTGTATAAAGAGTTCTCTCATTATTACCAAAAAGATAAGCGACTGAAGTGTGTTTATTTCTTTTCTCTTGGAGTTTCAAGTGTCAGAAATCCTTCTACCCTAAGTCTTTAAGTCCCTTGGGCAGTGGCTTTTTGCTTATTGATAGCAACTTGGCTTTATGTGAGAATTGTTGGAAATAGTTAAAGCTGGGGTCATGCAAAGCCTGAATTTCACACATCCACTGGCATTTCTTCACATACCTGTGTGAAGAATTATACTGAATTGTCACTTAGCCTGACAGGACATAGTGTTTCTGTATTCTCCAAAGGTGTTTGCAAATGAGTTTTTATTTCTTTTCCTACAATCAAAAAGAGAAAGGCAAATAAGAGAGGACCAAAGAAGTACAAGGACAATAGGGAAAACTGAGCACAAAAGTTTGGTGGCGGGGAGGGGAGGGGAAGTGAAATAAATTTATCAGAATAGTGTGAGAAACAAATAAAATGACGTGGCTAAACTTGATGGAATATTTCCTAAGGATAGGACCTGCCAGCAGCCTTAGTTCGTTTTTTTTTCACTCCTCCAAACCATCATTGCCAGAAGCCAGTGGTGGCAGCTGCTCTGCGGTTTTCCCTGGTGTTAACACATGCATTCTCTGTGCTTCCCCTAGTCTGCAGTGCCCTTCTGTGTCACAGACTCTGTTTCTGACATGGTTGCTTCTTTCAGCCACCGGGCCTTAGCAGGAGAAAGATGCTTGGAGGACTGTGGTCCTCCATAAAAATTTTACAAGTCCTTGTTTTCATTTCCTCTCCATAAACTGGCAATATTTACTTACTGGCAAACGCATTGCCTCAAAGCTCTTTCTGGAGAGTCTAAATACTGGTTTGTGTACTTTTTTGACCTTCAACATTGTCTGGTGGTTTTGGTTGTTTTTTGATTGTTTTGGTTTTGGACAGGAATATTTGGAGGGAGATATTTGGGGTTTCTTAACCTGTATGGTCAGCCTTGGCTTGTTCAGTGTTCATGAAACAAGTTCTGTAATGGAAAGTATCTCAGGGTACAGTAGATCTATAGAACTTTATCACGGAATCAAGCAGGGGGTCCTACTGAAAGATAGAACGTGTTCAGTTGTATAAAATATCCATATAAATATACATTATCTCGAGGCATCTTTACTTTGAGAATGACCTAAAAATGGCATCTTTCCACTTACTGGATTTGCAGGGACCCTGTGATTATTGAGTTGAGTTACTGCCACTTTTTGCTTTTGTTTCGCAGGAGAAGCTGAATGAAAAATGTCAAGGGATGAGAGGGATCCTTGGGTTTGTGTGTTTTCCCCTAAAATAGGCATGCTCTGATCTAGAATTAGTCTCACAAGATGCATGTAGGAAACTACTGCAGATCTTTTTTTTGCCAGCAGTGGGAAGAGCCTTGCTTGAGACTTTGTGGAAATATTAGTTTTAAAACCCCTTCAGATTAATCTGAATTAATTGTATTTGATAAAACATTCTGGAAACCATGAACCGTGAACATTCCTATGCCATTTTTAGTCATTGTCAGAGATAAGAGAGTATAATGCAGAACTTTTCAGAACCTGCTTTTGAAGTAAGTGGTTTTGTGCTGTCTTCATACTACTGAAATATTTCAGTGTGTCAGTGAGTGTTGCCATTTACTGCTGCTTCCCAGCAGGAAATCAAGTCTGCTGACATAATTAATGAAAAAGGGAATCCCCAAAGGGAGAACAGTGCATGAAAGAGGCTGGAGACCTTTACAGTTTTTTGAAGGTAAGTTTTCTCCTACTTAGTAAGAGTAGTTTATTTTGGAAAGCTACTTACCAAACTAGCATTTGATTAAATCACTGGTCCACATTAAGACTTGCCTCCAAACAACCATGAAGGTTTCCAGCTCTTATTTTCTGTTGTGTAAAAGCCATATTTTCACAGCCTGAGCTACCCATTCATCCTGCTATTGTTCAGGATGTAGAACTCCCACTGACAGCAGTGCAGAATTCTGTATAGAGGTATGTGTCAGAATGCAGTGTTATGTCAGCAGACTGCAATATGTTCTTTCATTTTGTGATTAATCACATTTTAATGAACATAGGCAGTGCAGGGAAGTTTTAAATTCTCTTAGCTGAACTGAAATTATCTTCTGTTTCTGTTCTTTTTCTGTTCTTCTGGAAAGTAGTATGATTTTCTCTATTGTGTGTGTACCAGAAGTACAGTATTTATAATTCAGAAGTAGTTTCTTTCTTTTGTTGTGGGTTTTTTATGTTAGTGTTTTGGGGGGGGTGGGGTGGTATTTTATATGTCCATGTGGACTTGTTATACCTATGAGGTAAGGCTGACTGGGATAGCCATTCTGGGCTCCTGCATGTAATCCATGATAAAAGCAGATAGCAAAATACCAGAAGATAGTGGCAACTGGATATTAAGGGAGATGGTCCTTTGTGTGAGCAAGGTTGGCTCTTTCATGTGCTTTTTGCCAGTCTTGTTCTCTACATAATTGCTTCTGTGTTCTTCCATTGCTTTCTTTTCACCTAGTTTAAAAAAACAAAGTAATGTGAACCACTGAGAGTTGAATCATCAGTGATGATCTTCCCCAGAAGCTGAGTTCCAGTAAGTGTTGGGTAGTTGGTGTTTACAGTCCTAAAGTGGTTGCAGTAGAATTCTAGTTAACTCCTCAGTCTTCTCAAAAATCTCTGGGGTTTTAAGGTAATCAGGTAACATAAAGAACAAGATCTATGAATTATGTCTTTCAAATGTAGAATGCAGGTTTCTGTTTCTTCTGAACTCTCCACTTGCTGGTTAGTAGAGTTATCCAGCTTTAGAGAGTTTGTGATGCCACATTTCTAGGCAGAGCAACAGAGGTAAGGAAAACTCATCTACAAAGCTACCGGCCATTCTTTCCTCTGCTGCTTTCCAGACTTCAGTCTTGGAGCCAAGCATCCTTGATGCTGTGCTATTTATTGCAGTCTGGATTTAGAGGAAATAAAGTCAATAACACAGGAGTTTTGCAGTACTGTTAATGCAGCAATGTAGAAATAGGCCTAATGAGGATGGATGCATCCCTCTGCACCTACTGTACTAACGTGGTCTTACTTTCTCTTGCCTTCCTAATTCCAGGTTTGAAAGAAGGAGGTCAGACCAGGAAAAAACTGTAACAGCTGTTTTCAAAGAAACATTTTTTTATTTTGCTTTTAATAAAGATTTTTTAGTGTATTGCAGCATATATAATTGATTTAATTATTTGACAATTCTTGTTTTTTATTTTAGGGAGGTGCAAGCAAGCCAGCGCTCTGTGGCCGTAATTGCTGAGATGATCCATACAGCCAGTCTAGTTCATGATGATGTTATTGATGATGCAAATTCTCGCAGAGGAAAAAGGACACTTAATCAAATCTGGGGAGAGAGGAAAGTGAGTTTGCTAATAAGTGCAGGACTTGCCTTTAAATTTCAGCAGAGCATGAGTACCTAGAGGTTTGTAACGTTACTATCTCTAGGTCTTGGAATATGTCAGAAAACATATGAAGAGGTGTGCACAGTTTGTGGGTGAGACAAGTGTGTTCTCTAAAGTGTTGGAAGCATTAGATAATGAATGATTGAAGTGTGTAAGTGTTGAACCTTTTCATCCTCCAGAAGAGCCAACTGAGGGGGGTTCTCATCACAAGTACCTGAAAGCAGTGTCAAGAAGATGGATCCAGGCTCTTCTCAAGTAATGGGACAAGAAGCAGTGGACTAAAACTAATGCACAGGAAGTTCCACCTGAATATGAACACATTGTCCAGAGAGGGTGTGGAGTCTCCCTCACTGGAGAGATTTAGAAATCATCTGGATGCAATCCTGTGCCATGTGCTCTGGGATGACCCTGCTTGAGCAGGGAGGGTGGACCAGATGACTGGCCCCTTCCAACCTGACCCATTCTGTGATTATTACTGATTTTACATTCCCTGTGCCATTCTCGGCAGTGCTTTTGAAATACTTTAAACTTGTACTTCCTCCTGAATGCTGATTCAGTGGTGAGCACAAAAATGTTTACAGTCAGCGGGAAATTTTTTTTTGAAATTAGTATTTTCTTCACAGAGGATTACAAGAAAGGTCTTCACCAGAAAATGCAAGGAAGGAACTTGGGGCAGTTCAGAGTTCACATGGTGCAACAAGAGAATGTGGCAACAAGCCACAAGAGAATGGTCAAATAGAGAACTAATGTTCAGAAAAACTTCATAAGCAAACACATATTGCATACATAGAGGACAGTGCTTATACAGAAAAAATATAAACAGTACTATAAGACAGAGATTCAAAAATTACTCAGATTTCAATATTTGGTTATGTGTTTTTTTGCTCTTAAAATTAGATATTTGTGCTTTATGTAGAAAAGTTATGTAATGTGGGTAGATCTGACAAATAAGGGAAATTGTACGGTCTGGAGTAACACAGGAAAAGACTTAAGGAATCACCTTGTTGTTGTTGTTGTTCTTAGGCTGTTCTAGCTGGTGACTTCATCCTCTCAGCTGCTTCTGTAGCTTTAGCACGAATTGGAAATACTACTATCATCTCTGTTCTAACTCAGGTGATTGAAGATCTGGTGCGTGGTAAGGTTTTTTCCTATTTTTTTATCTTCCCAGTTGCTTGCCTAAGCAGTAAACCCACAAATAAAACCTCCAATCTGTGCAACTTTTTAGGTGAATTCCTCCAGCTGGGTTCCAAGGAAAACGAGAATGAGAGATTTGCTCACTACCTTGAGAAGACTTTTAAGAAGACGGCGAGTCTGATAGCAAACAGTTGTAAAGCAGTATGTACGTCTGTCTCTTCTGAAATTAACATACCATACTGTAAGCTTCACAGCTAAACTCCTAGTATTGCTGTTTGCTCTGGAGACCCTCCAAAGCAAACCCTTGTAATGGTATTCTGCCAGAATGTGAATGGGTTAGATTGTGAATTTTATCACAGTTCAGCTGTGTAGCCTCCAATATTGGTTTTCACTTTCAATTTGCATTTTTTATTTTTGCACGGATTTATTGTTACTCTCAGTGGAATCAAAATAGTGTTAAAATAATCATAATGGTGGCAATCTTCAAATCACGAAATTCTGCAGCTTTGAGACAGTGGTTTTAAACTCAGTTGATCATTCTTGAGCCTATAATTTGATTTTGAATCTTCTTTGACATTTGTCCCTATTCCTTGGTGCTGAGTGAGACCTTAAATGTAATGGTAACAGTGGGAGGAAACAATTAATTCATATAATCAGAGAGTAAGCTGCATTGGAAGGGGCCCATCAAGATCATCAAGTCCAACTTCTGTCCCTGCATGGAACACCCCGAGAGTCACACCATGTGCCTGAGAGCATTGTCCAAGCACTTCTTTAACTCTGTCAGGTTCAATGCTGTGACCACTTTCCTGGAGAGTCTTTTCCAGTACCCAGCCACCCTCTGTGTGAAAATATTTCCCCGATATCTCTACATCACATTGTAAAAAAACAGAAGCATGTAGCTCGATTTGTCTGGGGGTTTTAATTATCAATTGCTTTATCCAACCCTGTCACTCTGTTCTCTTACTTGATTACAAATAGATCCAATTCAAGATTATGTTCTTACACAAAAATAGATGTTCAGTTTTAGTGCAGAAAATAGAGGTGGGTAATAATTTCACCGCAAAAGAGAGATTTGTTTATTCTTTTTAGTGAAAGGCAGTATAACTGATGGATTCTATAGCAAGCAGGAGTTCTAAGAGAATTAGACTAAAAATCTGTGCTAATATTAATCATCTTCCTTTGTTCTCAGAGAACTGGTACATTTGTACAACAGACAGCAGTTGAAAATAACTTATATCAAAATGATCACATAGAAAGAGACACATGGTTTTCAGGGGAGGGAAAACACCTTTTATTCTAGTTGGAGGAAAGAAGTCAAGTCTTTTGGATTGCTCATATTAATGGCAATAGGACCCTGAAAATTTTCTTTTGCATGTCTTGTTTTGTATCAGTAGGCACCTGGACTAGTAGAGAGCATCACATTATTCTGCTACCCCAGAAAAAACATGCACAAGTTTTAGTATTAATTTTGACAGTCTGCCTTAAAGAATCTTAGCAGATAAGTGAAATCACTTTCCCACTGGCTGGATTCTCCCTACAAATGTGCTGATTTAAGCTTTTTCCTTTTCATGACTTGCAAGAGTTAAGGATTTAAGCACTTCCCTCAAGATTGAGGCTGTGATGCTGGTCAAGGGGGTGTTTGGATGCTTTTCTTCTAGTGGCTGGTCTGAGTTGTTCCATTGCTGAATTGCTGGAATTTCATATGCTGTAAAATTTGTGTTAGAAAGGAAAACTGAGAAAAGGCCTCTCATGGCAAATCCTTACTTGCTGCACATAGAAGCAATGAGTTGAATATGTATGTTTCCCTCAGTTTCTTTCTGTATGGATTAGGAGAGCTCTATTGATAGCAGTTAAAAGGGATTTTTGTTTAGATGGCTTTGGCTACTGAGGAAATGGAATCAGAAGGGAGTTCTGCTTTCTGTACAAAAAATGATAAGCAGCATCACCAGTTCTATCTTGAAAGGAAATTCAGTTAGGGAATCAATAGTATTCATATCTTGTTTTCAGGGACAAAAAAGAGATTATGGGCTTTAAAAGCAGTTCTGTTCCTGTTAATGATAGGAAAAACTTCATTTGTTGCTGTGGTTGAATAAAATACAAGTATTAACTGGAAAGAAGATGTCAAACAAGTTCAGTTGGCACTTCAGAATTCCATCGTGCCATGCTTTAGAAATGGAAGAGTAGAGTATTCCTGTAAAAAGGTCTAAACACGACATTCGCATTTAATTGATACATTCTGTACCACCAAAGCATTACTGGATTTAAATCAAAATTCTTTAAGTTAGGACTTAGGGACAGAACAGTCTGTTCAAGATGTTAAGAGCCATTCCAGTCTTAGGCTTATTTCTACAATAGTTCTGCATGGGGGAATGTTACCAGAGTTTCAATCAAAATGTATTGTAAAAGGAAACAGTGGCAGGTGGCCCAGAGTCATTGAAGCCTTAGTTACTGCAAGGCATTTTTCAGAGAAACATGAGGTGACTTTAGTTCAAGAATTCAGAAACAATAAAGCTGAAGTGGAATTTCTGTTTAGTCACCAGGCCAGCTTGAGATAGCAAAATAACTTTCTGTCCTTTTTTAAACCCTGCTGTAATGTAAATTCCTGAGTCTCATAAAGCTGTTCATATTTGGTATACTTTCAGATGAGGGATTAAATTGTGCTTGCAAAAGGTGCACTAGAGAGTCTTGATTTCCATATTAGGAGGAAGCTTGTGCCTCCCTTGTGTAAGGCTATGGAAGGGACTGAATAAACCAGTAGTCTGCAGCTCTGGATCTACCTGTGAGTTCCTGCTCCAACCAGTTCCTAGTTTGGTGCACAGAGCTCCATCAGAAAACCCTACCAGCATGTGGAACTGGTGCCTAGGAAAATTAGACCTCAGACCCCCATCAGCAGAATTGAATCCCCCCAGCCCAGCTAGACCTGCAGGATGTAATAATGTCCAATGGCAGATGTAGGGTAATGGCACAGTCAGATAGCATGGTCAGCTAGTTAATCTCCTTAGTTATTTAAAATACAGTAAGTCCTTTGGGGGTATCTCTTTTGCTGTGAAAAAGATTTGAATAAATAGATCACATATATTCAGGCAGATAATCTTTGCTACGGCAAAGTACAATTCTGCACAAACAAGTACTTGGTTAACCTGTTAAAATATTGAGAAAAGGTCAAATGCATGAATATGCAGACTCAGGACAAGATAGTTGTCTGCCTTGTGTAGACATCTCCCTCTGCCAAGGAGGCCTCCATCACCCCCTCCTCAAGAGCAGTTCCCAGGAGGGTTTGAGGAGCCCAGAGAAGTTGGAGGCATTCCCAGCAGCAGTGGAGGACAAACATGGGGAGGGGGCATCATTGCCAGTGCAGCAGCACATCCAGTGCAGTGGCTGTGAGGCCACAGGGCTGGGCTCCCTCCTGCAGGACACACATGGGCACTCTGCAGGGAGTTCAGTGAAGGGCCACCTTGAGGGCAGAGGCTGGAGCAAATGATATGCCAAGAGCTGGTTTGAGTCTGGAGTTGGGAAGACAAAGGGGGAATCCTCCTGCCGTCTCCAGCTTGTAATTGGAGGACATAGAGAGGATGGAGAGATGTGCAGTGAAAGGACCAATTGTACCAGTTTTTCCACAGTTGTACTGTGGAAAAATTCAATTAGGTTTGAGGAAAAAATTCTCCATGAGGTTGGTCAAACATTGCAACAAGTAGCCAAGACAGAGTGTATGATTTTTCATCCTTGGAGATGCTCAGAAATCTACTGGACATAGCTCTGAGAAACCTGGTCTGTGAAGTAAACTCTCAGCAGATGGCTTTCAGAGTTTCCTTCCAACCTAAGCTATTCTGTGATTCTCCTGGAAAGAGGAGCACTGCCTCTGTCTAGAAAAAGACTGGTAGATGAGCCAGGAGTGAGAAGGCAGGAATCTGACTGCTTCTAGAGATGGGCATGGAGGAGAATGGCTGGAAAAGGGGAAGATTTTAGAGCTTTTCCTTTCCATGGAGTCCACAAATCTAGGAGTACAAGAAAAAACATCACTTGTAGTGTTTATTCAAGCATATTCTGGCCTAGCAGCAGGTTTTCCTCTTTGACCTACAGAGCCCTGGTAGAGATGAGCAAACGCTTTCAGTTCCAGCTGCCATATTGTCACTTATTAAATATCAGATTATAGCAGGATATATATACCCAGAGCTGATGCTGTATTTTATGGACGTGAAATCCAGTAAAGAGGCAAAATTGGTTTATAGTCTCTTATATACATAACAGAAACAACTTTTTTTTGCAAAAAAGTGTGTTTGAAATAACACCAAGGAGATTGTCCTGCTTTGCTGAATTCAAAGAACTTTCCTAAAGAATTTGTTCTACTATTAGGAAGGATTTTTCATCATGATTTAGTGGGGGATAGGCCTGAATTCTTGCAAGATTAAATTTCTCATGAACCAGTCATACCTATTTGGGGAGCTCTAGGCTATTTTCAAAGAGGGAGTTTTATCATTTAGACACACAACACTGTATTGACTTGGTTATCCTGATTTGTATTTGCAAATGCATGTATTATCCCAGAACATTATCCCAGTACAGCTCCAGTTAAACTCCATGTGGGAGTGAGGTTGCCTGGCTGCAGCCTGGCCCATGTCCAGCTGGGGGCAACAATCTACAAGAGCAGCTTGAGAAATTGCATCCTGAAGGAACTTCCTGATAGACACAACCCAGTCATTGCACATTTATGATGTGGTCATGGTCAGAGGGTTGCTCACTGGAGGATGACTGGCAAAACAAATCTCCTATTATTATCTCCTAGAATTTTTAATTTTTGTCTTTTTTTTTTTTGTCTTTGAACAAGAAATGACCTTTCAGGTTAAATGAGAAGCTCTTTTCTTTACATAGCACTTCCTCTCATTTTTTCTTTTTTTCTCCTTTTTGTATAACAGAAAAGGGTGAGATTTTTAGTGCATCTAAAAATCATGGTATATCCTAAGCGAAAAACTCACCCTCAGTCTGTGTAATATTAGTCCCCACCTGAGAACCTTCTCCCTTTCCCCTGTCCCATTGGCTGTAACTTCCCTGTATCCCCCGATCACCCCCGCCCCCTAGTATAAGAGATAAGACCCAGGGCATTTTGGCCTCTTTCTTGCCCCGTAAGGACAACAGACAATAAACCTGGGATCATTCCAAGCAGGTCTGAGCCTCCTGTGTCTAGATACTTTGAGTCCGTGTTGTATCTACTCCAGGATCCCTCTCTCGCCCGTGTTCCCTGAGGAGCTGTGCCTCCACACCAGGGGGGATAGAACAGAGGGGTCCCCCATGAGAAGATTGCAACACTCACCCTCTGCCAGCTACTGCCCATTCCAACCCTTTACCATTAACCAGAATTTTGGCACTGAATTCCATATTTTAATCCTCCACATGGAATGAAATGTGGAGGTAGGTAAAGATTTCATTAGGACAGGATAGATGCAGTCCCATGCCATGCTGGTATTATGTGATTTATATTACAGAAGCAAACAAAAGCTTGCATGGTACAGAAGTAGATGTTAGGTCTTCGGGCAAATACTGCTATTTAAGAGACAAACATCAAAAGGAGGATAAAAGGGCAAAATGTTCTACTTTGATAGTCCCTAGCAACATCAATTTAAATATCTCATATTTGCAGTTCACTCTGTTCAACAGCCTTCAGGATTTTGTATCATTGTTAGAGATAAGTAGCATTATTTTCCTGCTATACTGTCCTCCTTTAAATAGAAGTGGGGAATGTTTAATACTGTTAATTCCTCAGTCATCCAGATTCCTCTGGGGTTTAGTTATCCACAGATGCAGGTTATGACTGGGAAGTATTCTGATGCTCAGCTATGAAGTGCAGTGATGCATGAAACAATCTCTAATTTTGTGCAAGTTGCATCACATTTATTAGGATTTAACGTTGTTTCTTATTTCTATCTTCATGTTCACCTTCAAAGCTACTCACTACTGCTGGACTCACTTTTAGTTTGGGGTTGGTTTGGGGGTTGGAGGGGTTTTCTTTATGACCCTACCTTACACTGTCTTAAAAAATAATATATATATATATATATATATATGTGTGTGTGTGTGTGTGTGTGTGTGTATGTATATATATGTATGTATATGTATGTATGTATGTATATACACACACACTTACGTATTTTTATATTGTGTAGTTTTCCTGGCATATGTTTTTAGTCTTAAGTAAAATGTATCTTCACTCCCTGTGTCACAGCAGATTTGGAATGCCTGCAATAAACCAGGATGGATTTTTGTCCCCTGTTCCTAATTGGTTTATTTAAGGTAGAAATAAATCTGAGTATTTAACTAACCTCATTTTGCAAAATACATAAACAGTACATAAATGCAAAAAGCGTAACTGCCCTTACTTTGAGGCAAGATATTCTCAAACCTTAGTGTCCTGTATTTTAGTTTTGTGGCATCTATTCAGCAAAATTTCTGTCTCTCAAGTAGTTGATTGTACATTCAAGTAAAATGTTTTGTTTGTCTCAGTTTAGTGAAACCAAGTCAGCTTGGTGTGCTTTCTTCATTTGCTGTCTTTACTTTGCCATTAGTTATCCCTCGGTATCTTTGCCTGGAAGCTAATCAACTCATCTTCCTGAGCAAGTCAGATACAGTTAACATCAGCTTATAAAAATATTCTTTTGCTAAAACTTAGGTCAGCTGCCCCTCCTGTGCTGGCTTCAACACATCCAGCTCTGTGATCTTTTATGAGAAATATAATGTCTATTTATCTGTTGTCAGACCTCAAGTTATCCCCAGGCTGATTTATATATGTAATTAGCTTAATTTCCTCATCACTGTATTGACTGTATACGACTACTACCCTGCATGTGAAGTGCATCTAACATTTCTTCTCTCTTTATCCTTGCACTGTAATTTCTAAGCCTGATAAATATTTAATGAAGTTCATCTCTTTGCAGACTTGAATGTAGTTTTAATACTGCCCTGCTGTTGAGCCTTATTTTCTAGTGAGCTTGGCTAGTTACGTGTCTCCACGAACAGAGATAAGCCAGAATGTGCCTGAGTCAGCTTTTTTTGTATTTCCCAGATGCCTCCTGCCTGTGCTGGCTGTATCACACCTATGTTTAGGGGCTAAAAGTGGGTGCTAACTAAAGCTTTCTATTTATTTGGGTTTTTTTTTCTTTTCAGGTTTCAATTCTAGGCTGCCCTGATCCCAAAGTTCATGAGATTGCATACCAGTATGGAAAAAATGTTGGCATAGCTTTTCAGGTAGTGTTTTTGTTTAACTAAATGGAATCTAAAATCTAAACTTCTCCAAAGTGCTGTAGAAATCAAAGTGGGCTGTCTTAATCATTCCTACAAATCTTGTCCTTAACAAGGATTATTCTGTATTTAGCTCTAATTTTTTCAAAACAAATTTTAAATAATTTGTATATTTTTTCCAGCTGATAGATGATGTGCTGGATTTTACATCATGTGCTGACCATCTGGGGAAACCAACAGCAGCAGATCTCAAGCTTGGATTAGCTACAGGTCCCGTCTTATTTGCTTGTCGACAGGTAAGTCAGCAGGAAGCCGTTTCCTCAAAATAAAAAGTGTAAACTGCTCCTCACAGGACCGGCTGAAACACATCAAATCTCCAGTGTCAGTGATGAGAGAGGCTTGGGCACGTGTGTTTGATCAGTGTGTTTGATATCGGATGGATTCTGTGCACACACAAGTTACGAGAAACACCTTCCTGCACAACTCTACTTATTGTTAGGCTCTTGTAGGTATTCAGAGAGTTTTAGCACATTTTGTATAGGTTATTCCTAAGTAGCTTCTTGCTTGTTTTCTCCTGAGACATCTTCCCAGGCTTGACTCTTTTTTGCTTTGCTCTGGGCTTTGTATCCACCTGGGGCCAAGAATTGAAATCCCTGTCTTGCCTTTAGGTGGGTACCTTTATTTGTTGGATTTGATCTCTTAATCTCTTTGTCCTCAAGTATTATCCAGTTACAAACACAGGTCGCTTTCCTGTCAGAAGGTTGGATAAGAGAAAAGAGTGTCATAAATAAAACATGGTCAATAAAATTGGTCAAGATTTTCAGAGCCTTAAAAATTATTTGGAGGAGCAGAATGAAAACAGAAGTGTGAGCAACATGAAAAAAATATTAAAATCGGTGCTAATCCATAAACAGGGAAGAAACTGGTTTAATTCTTTGCTCCAGTGTCTTGTTCACCAGAGGCAATCAGATTTGGGACTTAAAAAGCAGTCCTTCCTACCAGATTTCACAGTGTGATACAAAAACTGGCACAATTAGTTCCAGCAGAGCTCTTGTCTATGATCTCTCAGTGGAATTACTTAGAGCTTGGCTTGGGAAAAGTTCTAAATCGTTTAAAACAAAAAAAAACCCAAATTTGACATTTACTTCCCCCTCCAAAAGAGCCTGTTGGAGGGGGAGGTGGAGCATACACATCTGTTCGCTTCCATATCCTTTGGGCATTTACAAGGATCTGTATCTCAGAAAAGACAGGGGAGCACACAGTATCAGCCAACTGACAAAGTAGATGAATGCATATTGAGGACAACGTTCTCCATGTCCCATACTCATCTGGGGGACTCACAAGCATGTTCATGAATCATTATTTCAGAATGGTGTCATCAGCAATTGGAGCTGTCCAAAGACCAGTGAGAATCAGGTAGAAAGGGAGCATGGAGTTGTAAAACTGTTTTTGTGTGCTAAAGCTGTGTGTAGAAGGAAACAAGGCATGTTGAAAATACCCAATCTTCATGGTACAGCAGTAGATGTTAGGTCTTGTATGTTAGATGTCAGAGAATGGGTGATGTTGATTGTCATGTGGGTGTTGAATATTCCAATTTTTAAATTAAGACTATTCTTCATTAATTCGTTAGGGTTGTCTGTCTCTGACTTTGAACTTCATCTATCTTTTAATTAGCTTTACAAGATAAATTAGTTCGTAATACAGAAATACAAGAAAAGAAAATGTGCCAGTCCTATTTTAAAATCTTGTTCTTTGTAGAGCTTTAAATGCTTAAAGTGACTTTTAAATGTCACTTTTAAATGCTTTTCCTCATTTGTATCTTTGATAGATGGGAAGAGTACATTTTTGCATTGAAAGGTAACTTGACCATCTTAAAAAGTTTTCTGCATTAACCAGAAGGCTTCCTTGCTGAAAATGTCCTGCTGTTTTCAAGAAACTGGAAGAACAGCACTACAGACTTAACTGATATATAAACAAAGCACGAGTGCTAAAAAATGTGGAGCTTCAACAGACACCTACTTGTGATGCTATTAAAAGATATTTCATATTTTTGTATCTGAGAAAAAAACTCATGAGCCAGGACTTGAAGACAGCCCAAAGTGTAATTATTAATTATAGGCTGTCTTTTCAGATTAGTATTGCTCTATCCTTTCATGTAGCTGGTACTCCTCAAGTTGTCTTCCTGATAAACATTTGTTCGTTTTTAATGTGCTCTGGATCATCAGTGACAGATGCCTTTTCTTCTTATCCTCTCCCCTCCCCTCCCTCTAAAATACACCTTTGTGCATTAGAATATTAAGGAGAAAAAAATGTTTACCTTGATATAAAACCTATTTATTCAGTATTTAAAGTTAGGTCACTCACTAAAAAAAAAAAAAATCCGCCCCATTTACTTTTTAAGGAAATACACTAGTGTATGCTAATTCAAAGCTCCTCTTAAATGAGTACAGCTGAATAATGAAGGTCTATTTTTATTATAAACATTCCTCTTAAATGCTGATGTGCTGCCCACTAAATATGCAGAGTTGCTAATAACAGCTCTGCCTTACAAGTTTGGGGATTTTCCTGTCCTTTAGTGCTTAAATATAAAAAGTGATCCCATATGCATCCTATATAACTGTAAATATGAATACTGTGAAAACTGATTGCATGAAGAGTGCAGTTAAATTGTCATTACCTGGGAAGGAAGCTAGGATCTAGAAAAAGCCATGACTTTCTTCTTTTAGATAAAGTATGAGTCACCACTGAACTTCTGAATGCATCTCCAAGACGATGTGTGAGTAATAGGAAAATGTCGCAGCACAGAGGGGTGCTACATGTTTGTACCTGAACAAGGTTGTAAAGCTGCAGTTGCAGGACAAAAGGTGTGCAAGGAAAGCAGATAATTGTTTAAAAGTGTACAGCAATAAAATCATCTGTTTGACTCTTAATTATTTCAGGAAAGATGAACAAACAGCTCTTTCCCTTAAAAAGAATTCTTCTGTGGAGTAGCTGCCTTGAGTTGTGGCCTTATTTTGCTAAGCATTAGGTTTTTCTGTTTCTAGGCTGTCTGAAGAAAGAGGCTGCATATATAGCTAAGTGATGTGATTTTTCTCAAAACAACAGACTTGAGTTACCTGCTTGATTCACAGGGAATTGAGCATGCAGTGCTAACTACAAATGCTATGTGACTGAAAACAAAATACCTTATAGTTGTAATTTTTTTCTTCTTAAAAAAAAATTATGCATATGTGAAATACCACCACAATGGAAAATGTAGGAGAATCTCATGAGAACATGCCAGTGTTACCACAAGGGGGTTTACAAGCTGAACTGTGCAATATTGTAAAAACAAACATCCTGGGTTCTTTTGTAGGTGTGGGGGTAGAGGTGCTTCCTCTAGGACTGCCAACATTAACCATTCATCTGTGATAGAATATCTGATGCACATTATATACCAGGTAGTAGCCACATCAGAAATTACCACACTGGAGCATCTGCTTAACATGATAAAATGGCAGGTGCTGACTTCTGCTTCCAACTGGCTACAGCCAGCAGAGCCAGATGGTTTAAGTTTTCAATGCTTGGGCTCTGCTATACTGTAGTCCTGTGCAGACTGCAAGTACAAACCTAAAGCTATACCTGTAAGCAATAACAGTGACGGGGGAAGAGGACTGCACTTGGCGTCATTCTGACCTTAGCATGGCAGGCAGCTACCTGGAAAACAACTCAAAAGCAAACACAAACACTTCTCCCTTTATGCTTAGTTTCCAGAAATGAATGCTATGATAATGAGGAGGTTCAGTAAGCCAGGAGATGTTGAACGTGCACGGAAATATGTGTTGCAGGTAAGACTAATACCAAATATTTCTACTCTCCCTGCTGCTCAGTCTGAAATTGTCTCTCAACTAAAATAGCAAGGCTGCATTGTCAAATACCTCCTGATAGCATGCAGCGTACAATGCCAAGTCAGAGCTCCTCAGCTCTCCTACTGGCACAGTGTTTTAACACAAACGCTAGGTACTGAAGAACTTTTTTTTTTCTTTTTTCCCTCCAGTTGCATAAAATCCACATAAGTAAAAAGCTCATGCATGAACCCAGTTCCTTCAGCTGAGGCATAGCTCAGCTGTATTCAATAGCTGGTATAAGTGGCACATAATTACCAGTCAGTCTTGTAACTGCAGTGCACACCCCATACCAGTTTTAATTGACTCTGGTCTAAAAAGACTGAGTAATGGTCTGTGCAAAATTAATACCTATTTTTCAGAATAGCATGGAGGTTTTGTACATCTCTATTTAGGGCAGGAGAGGAAGGGATAAACCATTAATTTCTAGTTTGCTATCAATACCAGTGCTGTTTTGTAATGGTTGAGTTGGTGTTTTAGCATGGATGAGTTTTAGTACTTTGACAGTTTGGGGCAGGTAGGTGGGCTTCCCTGATTACAGAATGAATCCTCTTCCTTTCCCCATCAGAATATAATGTGTTAGGGTACTTACTGACCTTAAAACTTCCGCCTGTGACTGGAAGAGGCAGAAGGCTGATCAGAGTTCACCATTTCCTATCTCTGTCTCCTTCCATCAGAGTGATGGTGTGCAGCAAACGACCTACCTCGCCCAGCGCTACTGCCACGCCGCCACGCGCGAGATCCGCAAGCTGCGGCCGTCCCCCGAGAGAGAGGCCCTCGTCCACCTGACAGAAATGGTTCTCATGCGAGACAAGTGAGAGAGCTCTTTCCACTCATTCTGGCAGCTACTTACCAGACTGTGCCTAAATTTATTTCAAAAGTTATTTGCTTCCAACACAAGCTACCAAAAATTATTTTTTTAAAAAAAAAAATCTCTTTTTTTTTTAAGTTCTTTTTTTTTTAAAAACAGAAGTTTGAAGTCTTTTACTGCAGGAAGCCATGCAATTCAGAGTAAATCGAACTGTGCTGTACAATTGTTTTAGCAGGGGCTATTGATTGTGGGGGATGGGGAAGATGTTTACATGTTGATGCACAAAGGCCACAATGAGAATAAATATAAATCAGTGTATGAAAACTGAAGCTGTTCCAAGTTTCACTTGTTTACACTAATAAACAGAGCATGCATGTACAGGAGCTGGTAAACTCCTGTGAAGAGAGATGGTTTGGATGCTTCCCAGCTGTTTAACAAGCACCTGGAATTGTATATAGAGATACTGGTTTACTGTAAAAGACTACATGTGGATTTACTTGGTTATATAAAATGAGTTCCAATTCATGCTATTGGTGGCTACCAATGATGCAGAATTTGAGACTGCTACCAAATGAATGCTTTTGTACAGAAAACAAAAAGGCTTGGTATTTCTAACTCACACTAAAAATGAATGATTCATCAGCCAGTCAAACCTGCAACTCCATCACTTTCAATCACTCATTTACAGAATATATTCTGTAGCACCCTAGAAGCTGCCTTTGAAGTCCCAGACACATTCCTCTCACAGTAATTACCCAGTACTACCACATTCCTTCTGAGGTTATTTCAGCCACAGAATCTGTAGAGCAGGGAAGCACACCCTCTCTAGCTATCTGTGCCTGTGATCCCCTAACAATGGCCAGGTTCCTGTCACATGTGCTCCCCTGGATGCTGTCTGGAGGAGAGCCTGCTCCTGCTCCCTGGGGCACTCCCCAGAGCCACACAGAATGTTCCCACACACAACTGTCAGCTACAGATCCTGTCCAACTTACTGCATCCAGGTAACTAGATTCAATCAAGTACCCTCACTAAAATTAAGTGCTGGCAGGAAAGAACTTCTAAGAGTATGTATAAGTGTGTAATTCAGGTTTCAGATCTAATTTATTTGCCTTCTGTCACTGAAAAGTCATGTTACAAATATTTGTTTTTTAGTACATTGCCTGGGATAACACAGCCACGATTTTGCTACGTTAGCATTCCAAATTTCTTTGCCAAGCCAACCAAAAAAGTAATGGACAAGACCTTCGGTTCACTTATATATTTATGAATGGAAAAAGTCATAATGTAAATTTACTCATTAAAAAAACTTGGGTACAAATTACACATACATAAGACCACCCATTTTTTGAATCACATGGACACCTTAGACCCAAACAACTCATTGTAATAGACTTTAGTGAGAATACTCCAGGTAAAGATTACAACAATTGGAAGCATCTTGGATTTTTAAAAAAGTATATTTCAATACATAAGTTTGTATGCATGCTTTAAACAAATATAGTTCAAGAATGAGCAAAGAGTCTAAACAAAAAGTAATATGACCAGCACTAACATTAAATTTCTCATCCAGGTTTTAATATGTTAGTCTAACGTAGTGTTAGTTACCATGCTGTACTGAAAAATGTAATGGCACAATCTGATCATGGTTCATTAAATATTATACCCTACTTCCCCATAATATTTAGGCTGGTCATAAAATTAACAATGTATAAGTAAATAAGTATAACCAGTTATAGACAGTTGCTTGTTTTACAAATTGCCATCAGGTAAGACATACTGTTCCCAGAGACTCAGAGATGGACATTCAATCATACCATTAAAACAGTATGGCCTGAAGAAATGGGCACAATTTTGAAAGTATATTAAGACAATTCTGTTAGCTTTTAGTTACCCCTTGTAAATAATCATGGTATGACTTTAATACAAGACCAAACTTTGAAAAGCAAAGGATTTTAATCGGCATAGTGCATGATTGATTCAACGTAATTCCCAGGAAACAAGCCAGTTACTCGATTGCAAACTCCTTCATACCAGCCATCATCGTTCTTCTTTATCACATAAATGATTGCACCCTCCATAAACGACAGCTCATCGTCTTTGTCCTTTGTATAGTCATATATAGCAACAACTGTGGAACACACAGGGACACATTTAGCATTTTATTAATAGTAACAGTATTAAAAAAAATTGGTACTTCAGAAAATGTTAAAACATTAGTTTGCTATCCTGGGATTCTCAATAATGAATTCACATGCTTTTCCTGTTGAACATTAAGCCCAGAAAATGGAATTTCACTTTCCTTGCAACATTAGCTAGCACTAAGAAGTGGGTAGTGACTACACTGAACACTCATTTAAGCTGCTGACAGAGAAGTATGTTTGACTGTGACACCGTAAAGTGCCGCTTATAGACACTTAAAAGCTGAGTTGGGCAGTAACTGACTTGTGTGGTACCCATTTCTGACCAGATTACCTCAAAAGCATGTGGATCCCTTAATTAGAACACGGCTAAAAAAATTTTACAAAAAACATTCCACTGTTGGCACCTTAAAGTGGCCTTGCACACATCATTGCTAAAACCATTGCACACAAATGAATAGTCTTTCCTGCAGAACTTTTATGTCATAAAGAGTTCTGGCACTACTTTTCAAGGAGCTGCACTGAGTGCAAGTAGGAAAGTTGCTGAAGAAGAATGTAGAAGCAACATCTGTTATTTTCAGTACCTGCTTGGTGTGTTCCTTACTCTTACAAACCTCCAACTTGCTGTGTGCCATTAACAAAGTGGAGATTTCCCCAAGGAACAAATGTTGCCACCACAAATACTGGAGTTAAAAACTACCACTGTGAATATACAGACTTCAGATATCACAGCCTTACCCTTCAGAAGTTAATATGGATATGCAATTGATCAGCTTTATGAATTCCAAGAATCCACTATTTTACACCTACGTATGTTCTCTGATATCTGATGTCTTAATGCCTAGCAATGATGTGCTGCGTCAGTTATTTTCATCCCATGGGTATGTCCTACACACAGGCCAGCTTGAGTGAAGATGGAACAGAGGAGCTCTGCCACAAACATCACCAGTACCTGGCCCCATTTCATACTCACTGCAGCACTGGCCAGCTCATGAGAAAACTGGCAACGCTACTGCTGACTAAATGGTCAGTGCTACAACACAGACAACACAGGCAGGAAATCTGCCTGTCCATTATTTATGGGAAGAGATGTTTAATATGTGACTTCATACCTAAGCACAGTTCACAGTCTGCTGATCTGGAGTCACTGATAAATCTCCAACGAGGCCTCAACACATTTTATAGTTCAAAGGCTAATAATCCACTCTAGTAATCTAGTTTGATGAGATAAATACAGCTTGGAATTTCTGTCTGTTTTGCAGCAGTTTGTAGATGACTGCCCAGCAATCCTGAGGTAGGTACAGACAGTCCAGCTCAAAGATGAAAGCCATCCCATTTACATCTGCTTGTTGTGAAGAAGCTTTCTTTTTCATCCATTCTAGAATGCTTGAAGGGATTTTATAATTTGTCCAAAGAAGGATTATGTCTTACCACATTAGATGTGGACAAACTACAGAAAGCATGGTTTGAGTTCTGACTTAGGAGGGACAATGACTTTTTTCATCAGAACCATGCTAAGTCCTTCATTCCCTTCAGATACCGTTAATCCTCTGATACTGCACTAACACAGCTGCAACACTTCTCTTACCTTTCTCTATGTAGTTTTTAGGTGCCCAGGCAGGATCTCCATCTGCATAGGGATCGCTGTACTGCACAACAGCAGCCTCCTCATCCTCATAATCCACGGGGGGTGGGGGTGGAGGAGGAGGAGAGTCATCAAACATCGGCATCTCATCGGGAGGTGGCGGCGGGGGAGGAGTCGGGCTATCAGCAACTAGAAACATTTGGACATTATTGGTTTTTCTTAAATCAAGACAGTGTAGAGATGCAAACAAACCTGAGGCTGTACACTGTAAATAAAAGGGTTGGGGGGGACAACACACACAGCATGCACTATAATACCATGCACTGATTAGAAACAGAGGCTTTGTATTAACAACTACAACACATAACTATATTTGTTTAGTGGTCAAATCTATGTGTAAATGCTACTAGAGTCAAAGCACATGCTGCGGGGCATAAGCTGAACATCAGCAGAGAGGAAAGCTTCCTGCTGCAATGTCCATGCGCTGCAGCGTTAGCTATGGAGGACTCCGAGTGGCACCCTCTGAGCCAGGCAGCAACAGGCCTCTGACCGGGCCAGCAGCTTGATTGGTTTTTAACAAATCCTTTGTTCGCAACTTGAAGTCACTTCAATTTACTTCTGAACACTGCTTCCTTGGATTCTTTCTCTCTCAGAGCTAGCATGAGGGAAGAAAAAGATCTGGTGTGGATCATAAATACTAGTCTCTTCCCTTTTTAAAGATTTAACCAGGTAAGAGGAAGCCAAGTGATTCTTCTGCAGGAGAAAAGCTTTGTACAGATCTTTATCTTGCAGAGTAGCTTGTGTGTGTGCACACATTCAGGAGTCAATTAATAAATGGAAAACTATGATAGGCAGCTGGTGCTCTTAGAGAAAAAGTGCTCAAGGAATTAAATTAAATAAACCAAAATGTCAAATCCCTGCCCTGAGATACTCCAATCAGCACAATTACAAGTTGCTTTGGGAAAGGGAAAAAGAGAAAGGCATTACGATACAAATCACTTTTAAAATCAGTTCATTAAATTAGTTTCCAGTAATGCTGACAGCACCTGGCAGCGAGATAAAGAGATGGCATACTCAGATGCAGGACACCAAGTCACTTTGTCCCATCCTTAGGGAGATGTGGACCACTACACATGGACCTGGTGTAAGCACTATGAAGCCCCAAGTTACTGAAAGGAAGCTACTGTTACTAACACCAACTTGGTTACATAGCAACACAGATTCATTTTCAAGGGCTGAGATTCTGCACACTGAAAACACAGGCTGAAAACCACTGCTCTAGGCAGGGTTTGATGGAACGAGGCATCAGGCCCCAGAATGTGCAGCTCCAGCACACAAATTTTGAAAAGAAAGCCAAGCAAGTGAGAAAGAACAACACTGCACTGAATTAAGCTTTAACTACTGACAGCTACAATGGCACTAGAGATTAGAAATAAGGGTTTTGTTTGCCTGAACAGTTTTTACTTTTGGCTGGTCACCACTCTAGTGGTGACTTAACCTTTGCTCTTCAGCCCCATGGCCCTGGCAAGAGACTTGGGCACAGCTCCCATGTCCTGTCTGGGTCAGACGGGCTGCACTGGGACAGGTCTGGCACC